CGAAGTTTTAGAAACAGTTCTTCATTCTTTGGATTTAACATCTCTTGTACTCTTGTCAATCTTGATAGAAGAGAATTAAGTAATAGTTCGTTTAGCTATTTAGAATTGCCCGTCCAGCTCAGTTGGTAGAGCGCAAGGCTCTTAACGTTGTGGTCGTGGGATCGAGTACCACGGTGGGCAATTCATAATTGCCGGAGGTCTTCCACGGAAGTTGCTCTCAACCTAGCGTTGGGGGCAGCCTACTACCTTACCTCCCCCTTACCCCATTACATATGGGAATAGGGTCAGCTAATTTAATTTAATTTATTTCGTTTAGCTATTTACATTTACTAGGGGCTAAGGCCAGATACTGTCAAACAAAGAGGTGGCCTTTAATTGAACTATCAGAAAAAAAGCTCACTCAATTAGAAATAAAATTATATTTGAGAACCCGATCCTCAAGATACACATAATGTTATCATAAAAAATACTGGTAAAAGTAGCCTTTAATTAAACTACCAGCACAAAAGTTCACTGAACTAGAAACATAACTATATTGAAGAACCCGATTTTTAAAATACAGATTATGTTCATCCAAATTACTAGTGACAGTGAAACAGTTTAATTATGTTAATCAAACATTAGGCATTATGGTTAAGTCGTTCCTGGTTGTCAGTTAAATACTCTTGGAAAACCATTGGAACAATATCAAATATAATACCAGTTACAGGACAAATATAACTGAAAAACCAAAACCCACAAATAACTTCCCTTGCAAAAGGGTCAAGCATGTAATAATTTAGTCCATAACCAGTAACCAACCAGCAAGGAAATCACAGGAATCATAAGCAGGCTGCAGGTTGTTACTTACCCCATAGATGAATCCATAATACCATGTTGTAAAATGACAGCCTTACGTGCATCACGTCTGCAATATCAGACTAGATGCATCAAAAAGCACAGCTTTCAACCAAAAGTGATAATCCGAAAAGAAAATGAATAATTATACCTTGCTATTATTTCTAAAAGGATGACATATCCATCATTAGTAATAACATGAATAGCTTCATATGGGTACCTAAAACAGGAACATGGGGTGAGAAACAGAAGCGCAATTACTGTGGTAAAAGAAAGGAAACAGAAATCGAAAATAACATCGCACTTACCCAAGCTCTGCTATGACATCCCGACATGTCCTCGCATCGGTGTTAAGAGCATGGTGAAGAATAAGATTCCTTTCTCTAGGAGATGGATCATTAGCTCCAAGAGTAGAGGTGGGAACTGAAGCATTCAAGGCATCATCATCAATATCCTTATCACCAGCAGTGGGAGATGAGAACCATTTTCCAAAGATCTTGAAAGTTGCAGACGGGGAGAACACACAATATGCAGCCTTGTGAAACATATAAAATATAGCTTCTATGAAAATCTCAATTGCTAGATGAAGATCTTGATACACATAGAATAACAATGAGTTAAGGTATAAATAAATAAATAAACCCAAAGAGGCAATAAAGACAGAAAAGCCATGGAGAAAGTAAGATGTAAGGGTATATAAACCTCAATGACTCCTCGTCTCCTGTCAATGGTGCGCTGGACAACATGGTCCTTCGAAGTGTGTCCTTTCTTAAAGGAAGGAAATGTCCTAAGACCCCGTAGCTGAAGGAGCCTTGGATTCTTGATTACTTAACAGAAGGAAAAGAAAAGATGGTATCCTCAGCAGAAACCTAACAGGTAATAAAATCCAAGAAAATATGTATGCCACCCAGTATGTCCAGTGCGAATCACGAAGGATGTGAGTGCTTGTTCTGTGGGTTCTTGACCCATGAGATGATGGTGTAAAGGGTATATTCCATCATCAGTCTCATCTTCTGCAGACGAGTAATCTGCACTTGAATTATCGTCCACAGAAAGCTCGTGGATGAACTGGTTGAATGAGGAAACACCACTATCATAAACAATAAAACCATAACGTCAACCACTAATTGGTATTACAATCAGTTAATATGGTAAAGAATATATTATAAAGTCACACTTATCACAAACTCAACAATTCATCTTCAGTGTGTGTCGATTGAGATTGAGCAATGATTTTAGATTTTAGAGCACATAACATAGGTTGTCAAGTAGCAACAAAATTACAATGGCTTTTTTTACAGACGATCAAGGAAACCGTGACATTGTCTTCTTAACTGTTTATTGTTTACTCAACAAAGAAAGCAGTGCAGAAATCCCCCTCCTATTTGTAGCTCCCCCCCTCTTTCTCTCTCTGTCGATGACACTTTCAAACAATAGAGAAGTAAGAAACCTGAGAAATTTCTTGTACTCCACTTCCTATTAAAACTATTGTGCTTCTGCAGTCATGCAACAAATTTGAATCATGATCAGACAAATAAAAGCTGCTATATGCAAATCCATAAAGCATATCCTTAACAGGATAGTTATAAATTTATGATTAAAACCATTCTATTAGGCTCTACAGTAGTACATTGGACCTATGATGTAAGAACACACTAGTGTCAGCAAGCAACGGTAGACTTCCCAGCAGAATATATTGACAATAAAAATCAGCAGAACCTGTTTGATATCTCCTATTTAATCTTTAGTGCTCCAATAAATACTTGACAGAAAGCAAAGACAAATCCAAAACTAAGAAGCAAGTATGAACTTAGATGATGATGTTAATGAATTAAACCACTCTGGCAAAAGGTTTTATTTAAGCTTACAAGTGGCTAATGCAAAATAGAAACATAGTCCATGATACTCGAGCAGTTTGTCTTTCACCAAAGAAAAAACGTACTTCTTCATACAGCGGGGAAATTGAGGTCCATGAAGAGTTGGCCTAAGCTCCCATCCTTGAGCACCATCAAGACTATTCCCCTTTCCGACAAGAATGGCCAATAAAAATGCTGACAATCCATTTATCAACCTTGCAATATTGTTCAAAGACTCGTACGTAAAAGTCTTCACTGACCTGCATAAAAAATAGAAACACATTGGCTATTCATTTTCCAACCTAATAAAAACACTTAGGCTCTATTTGGTGGGCATTTTTTTTTCATTTTTCTTTTTCAATAGAAAGGAGGAGTAAATAAATATACATATGAGCTAAAAACAAAGTGAAACTAGAAAAAAGCAAAAGACTCAATCAATCAGTGCTTTAGGAAATGAATAACAGTCACTACCTCTGCCTTAGGGTGGAGATAAACATACATTATAATTGAATGAAAAGTTCAGAACAAGCAAAGCAGATAAATTACCGAAACAATCACAGGAAGATGTACCATGCTTGCAATAACAATGCAATAAAAAAATAAGGTTGTTAAATCATAATTAGGCAATATCATTAACACGAAATTGGGAAGAACAAAATGCAGTTCAAAATATTAAATGACACCAAGCTGAAAACGGAGAAGCCTCAAGAAGGCACTAAAACAGAGCAAAAAGAAACAAAATAATGTCATTAATAACTCATCAAGCTAACGATGCTATCAACTTCTATTTTTATTATTCAACCAGCCCCAGTATCATCAGTCCATCACTAGTTCCTTGGAAAAATAAGAGATTCCGGATAGTAATAAACATTTCATTTTGTCGATAATTTAGACTAGTAAACTAGGTTCTTTTTCTTTGTCTTCTAAAAGAAATTAAGAAATTAAATATTTTCAGTAATTTTTTTTTTAATTTCAGAAAAATGGTTTCACAATGAGGTAATCAGGGTCAATTTGATATGAAGTAATCATATTGTTCCTTCTAATAATGATGATGAAATTCTAAATAAACGATACCCAGAAATTTGTATCAATGATTTTTCCCCTTTTCCTGAACTTGATTCAGCTAACAAATGCTCCCAAATACTTCTCTCTAAAAGTAATTCCAATAAAATCTTAACGACGGACCCTAAAATTTTCCGAACCAATAAAAAAGATCCAAAAGATATTAAGGAAGCGAAATGATCTTAGACATGCATGTACCGACATTCGTATAAATATACGGATATTCAAAAAAGAGAAAAACTCTCACTCTTTGCTAACAGCGAGAGCGTTGTCGACGAATCGCCGCATAATACTAGTCGTCCTTCCCTTTTTCCCAAAAAGAAAAATGATATTCTCGATTTCCAGAACTACAAAAGAGAGGGGATCGACTATGCGTAGAATTTCTGAATCGCCGAAACGAGGGTAGAGAGGAACGGGAGGATATAGGGATTGTCTTTTCTTTTCACAACGGCGAATCTTCGCGTAAAAAAATTAGGTCGGTTAATAATATCCAGCACCCCTGTTTTTTCAGTTTGTGGCGGTTTAAGGGTGGTTCCACGTGAAAGATGGTTATTTATTTGAAAAAAATGGTCTATATCTATATTTATTTAGATCAATAATCTATGTCGATGTTACGTGTTTGAGTTTGTTTGCTTCCTAAAAGTGAGTCTCGAATGGTCCGCTGAGCCGACTCAGATCATTTGTTGGATAATGGTCGGTCCAATCATTTTTTTTTGCTCAGGTTGCCGAGTTCACAACGTAGTTGGATTCGCTTCCAAGTCAAAATTATTTACTTTGTCGTGTATTACTTATAATTTTAATTATTTATGGTTAAATCTGAACATATATTTAGAGTTTTCAATACAATTAAAAACATGCTTAAATATATTTACTAACCACTTGAATTCAATCTTAATTGGTTGAAATTTAATGTATAAAAAATAAATTTTATCCGAGGATTGAATCAAAATACTTGTCATATTCATGATTTGATCAACTAAGTTGCAAAAATTTGATTACATACTCATTAAACCATGTTTTAAAATAGCCAGTATAATTAACTAAATATAATTTTGGAATGACAAATGTTTGAAACAGAAGCCGTGAAGTATATTGACGTTTGAAGATAAGGTCTGATGAGATTGTGATAAAATCATAAAACTGCCATCTCCTCACCATGAGGAATGAACGCAACACTGGTAACACAGTCGTGCTGCGTGGAGTAGAAGAGGGCGCTACTAAATTGTTTTTATAAAATATTATTACTGGCTTAAGATTTTTTTCACAATAAATATAAAAAAAAATATTTTTGGGTTTTTTAAGGACATACTAATCTAGTCACCAACATACAACAACATGCATCTATGACATTCAATACAACATGACTCATGCCAAATTCAAAAGGGAAACGGCTTTGTAATGAATTTGAGTTTAGGAGCTAGCCTGTCCTTTCTTCTTCAATTTCAGGGCCTTTTTCGGACTAGACTGGTGCTTCAGAGCAGGCTCTTCAAGCATCAGGCGAGACATCACGTATGCTAAGATGTCCTCTCGGTTCGACTTTGTGAAGTCCAAGTGCCCGTACTCAAGTTCCTTGTACGATACATCTACACCTGCATCCCTCATCGACTTATAGTGCCTTCTAACCATTGCTGCACTAATTATCTTATCATTCCGACCGGCAATCAAATCGATGGGAATATCAATAAGCGAATAATTTCCACCCAAGTCTATTGGTTCCGAAGATCCATACACCTTCATATTGGCTGATGTACTCCCATAATCATACATTACAAATTTCCCCTTCCATTTCATTTGTGCAAGGTGGTGAACCACACCTAACGAGAGCCCCGGCATGTCATCCATATTGTAATGAGGTAAGCCCATCACCCCAACCCAGTCTGAGCTATCTCCGCCAAGCATATAACTCAATACGGTTTGAATCAGTCCCCCAAGGGCAGGGTAGTTATGGAAGTCCCTCGCCAACTTGTTGAACAACATGCGGAAGAACCAGGTCGGTATATACAAGGCTGGCACAAAATATGCAATGATCCGACCCAAAGGAACAAGGAAATAATGCGCCACCGTAAGAATAAAAATTGTCTCCTGGTGGAAGCCTGCTGGTGAAAGTAAAATCATTCTTGAGAGCTTGTGAGGCTTTCGTTCAATCAGGCGCATAACGAGATACATCAGCATGACAGCTCCACCCAGACTATGAGCCATTGCACCAAGTTTGTACGGCTGTTCATCATTTGTTTCTTCATCAGGTTGAATAATCTTTAATTCAGCAGTTTTAATTTCATGAATCTTCTCTATCATGGCCGGAATATCTTTTGTACCATGCTCATTTACGGTGTACCACCAATATCTGAGTCAAAATAGTATGTTTTAGTCACAGTTGTTGCAAGAATGAATCTGCTCCAACCTAGTGATCACATTAGGTAAAGAAGGGGAGAAGTGATATATTTCATTCTTGAATTTCCAGTTTTAATGTATGAGAAACTATCAATCAAAGAAATTGACAGCGAAATCAGATATTCACTTACTTCCTCGAGGAGATTTTTTTATCCACGTGCTCCCTAGAGACCAGACCACGCAAATTCCCAAGGAAGACGTCGTAGCCTGTAATTAAAGGCATAACGTCATTACTCTGCACTTTTATACTACTAAAGCTATGAATGATGTAATCACTTTCAAGTATAATACAAACCTTGATCATATGCTGCAAATGCTGGAGAACCAACAATGCCCTCAGAAACCCAACTGCAAATCAGCATATGAAAACAACCAATTTACGTATTTTAGTACAGGTGAACGTGGATAAATTACAATTAATTGGAACAATAACTAATAGTGTTATGAGGATTTAATGATAATTAGAAGAACAATACTTAACACAATACAACGAGGAGAGATATCTTAAGTCATAGGCATCATATGCATATTTTTAAGTCATACAATAGATGAGATTTCTAGACAAATGCTGATCCAAGCCAATTCTACTTTAATTTAAGAATAGCTAAAAAGGTCTATATAAAATACACATTAGAGCAAGTTTTGGTATATATATGTTTCCAACATGGGTACACACTTTCTCTAAATAAATGTATATATTTTTTTGTGGATCATACACCATATCCATATTTGAATATGATAGAACAGGTGTTGAGCATGAGTGCTTCGAACATGAGGACTTCAGGTAAGATAAACAACAGGTGCATTGATCCTCACCTTGAGAAAGACACGCAAGTAAATAACATTATTTATCAAATAGCACCTACATTACAATAAAATGATTCATTCAATCCGTTAAACAGTAGTGCTATTAAAATATGAACCTCTTTTTCTAAAATGAAATCATTAGGACAAAAACTTGATGTGAGAATGGAATGCATTGTGCAGAAGACTTCATTCACGTAAACCACCATAATGCCTGCCCAAAAAGTGAGCAACCAGCAAAGAAATCACAACAGAGTGGCAGATAGACTGTAGATTGTTACATACCCCACAGATGAATCAAAAATACCATGCTGTAGATAGACAGCCTTCCGTGCATCACGTCTGCAATATCATATTAGAGGCATCAAGAATTGTTGCATTCACGCAAAAGTGAAAATATGAACAGATAACAAACAATTATACCTTGGTATTCTTTCTAAAAGAAGAATATAACCATCGGCAGTGATAACATGAATAGCTTCATAAGGGTACCTAAAAAAGGAAGATGTGGTAAGCAACCAACAGGAGATATGCAGAATTTCACGAGTAAAAGAAGGGGGAAAGGGAAAGAAAGAAAACAGAAATAAGACTGCACTTACCCAAGCTCTGTTATGATATCCTTACAAGTTCGAGCATCCGTGTTAAGAGCATGGTGGAGAGTGGGATTCCTTTCTGTAGGGGCCGGATCCTTATCCCCAACAGTATTAGGGGGAACTGAAGCATTCAAGACATCTTCATCAACATCCTTAACATCAGAGCTTGCAGATGTGAACCATTTCACAAAGATTCTGAAAGCCAAGGATGGGGAGAGCACAAAATGTGCAGTCTTGTGAATCATATCAAATATAGCTTCTATAAAAATCTCAATTGATAGATGAAGGTCCTGATTGTCATCACATCGCAGTAAGTAAAAGTTATAAAAAAAATAATGGAAAAAAGTAAGGCAATGCAAAACAGGAAATAGTGATGAAGTAAGATGTAAGTCCTTGAAAAAACCTCAACAACTCCACGCCTCCTGTCAATGCTACGTTTGACAACATGGTCCTTGGAGTTGTGCGCTTTCATAAAGGAGTGAAAATTTCTAGCACGCGGGCTTTCTGAATCCGAAGAAGCCCTTGATCCCCAAATATTTAACAAACGAAAAAGAAGAAATGGCATCCACAGAAAAATCCTGACAGGTAAAAGAATCAACGAAAATATGTATGCCATCCAGTCTGTCCAATGACAAGAATGATTGATAGCAAAACTTGTTCGCGAGGTTCTTGACCCATAAGATGATGGTGACGCAGGGTTTGTTTCATCAAGATCATTTTCTTCAGAGGAATAATCTATACTTGAAGTATCAGAGTCCACAGAAAGCTCATGGATTAACTGGTTGAAAGACGAAACACCACTGTGGTCAACAAGAAAAGCCAAATGTCAACCACCAATCAGTACTGGAATTACCTAATATGGTAAAGAAGCTGGTACAGGGTGATAATGGCTTATCATAAATTCAATAATTTAGCCCCCTGCATTTTGTTTGTGCAGGACTGCGAAAAGTGTAGGTGCAAATTCCAGATTTTAGATAATAGAACTAGAAAATTAAGCAAGAGAGAACTAACGAATTTAAGAAACTTCTGATGACACCACTTATTGTTTAAGCCATTGTGATTCTGCAGTTATGCAAAAATCTATCTTCACAACCAGCAAAATCAGAGGTGTAGTAGGCAATTTTCATAAGCAATAACATCTAGTAATATTCTTCAAAGAACAACCACACCTTTACATTAAAACAAATCTTATTTGGATGAACTCCAAGTATAGATTGTAAATGAACATGAAGAATAAAAATATCCCATTTAGAATGTAAGAAGCTAATTAGGTTTGGCTCTCCAAAATTGTGTGAACAAAGATAAGGCCAAAGCAAAGAAGCAAACTACTTACTTAAATGATATTTTTAACTATTTTAATCACTCTGGTGAAGGTATTCTACTTAAGCACATAAACGGCCATACAAAACAAAAGCATACTCCATAAACCTTTTGAGACTAATTTCTTCTCTCATCAAAACTGTATAAAAAAAAGCCACGTACTTTTCCATCCAGTGTGGAAACCGAGGTCCATGGAAAGTTGGCCTAAGCTCCCATCCTTGAACGCCTTCAAGAATATTTGCCTTTCCAAGTACAATGGCCAAAAAAAGTGAGGACACTCCATTTATCAACCGAACAGTGTTGTTCAAAAACTCATACATAAAAGTCTTCATCAACCTGCATTAAGGATAAAAACAAATCGGTTACCCCAAATAAAAATACTTGGGCTTCTTCGGTTGAACCTTTTGTTTTATGTTTACATTACTCATTTTACTCATGTTGTCGAAATAAAATTGAAATTTAATTAGCACTTATTTTAACAAAAACATATAAGAAAAAGGGAATTAATCAACGTGTTTCATAAAATCAATGAGGTAAAGTAGGATTTCTAGAAAAATCTGTAGCCTTAAGTTGCGGCATGCAATCGATTCATATGACTCAAAATGCAGAGAATTGTAAACACGTACGACTCCCGGCTAAGCTTCCGCAATTCATTTATATCAATGAAGTTCTAAATCAGAGCAAAAAGAAACAAACAGAGCAAATTATTTAGGCTTCTAAACTGGGTTCATTTTCTTTGTCTTCTTAAACAAGTTAGGAAAGTAAACCGTCTCTGTAAATTATTTTTGCTTATGAAAAAAAGGTTTCCACAACAAGAAAACTGTGGTCAAACTAAGAGAGCAATTACGTAGTTTCAGTTTCCATTCAGATTTCGACACTAGAAAGACGAAATCGTCATAGTAATTCCAGAATGGTTCCATTTGATAAAATTCTCAAATAAGTAATACCCAGAAAATCCTACTAATTACTTTTGCTTTCTGCTTTATTTAACTCGACTCGGCTAATAAAAGCTCCCAACTATTGATCCTAAAAAAATGCTGATAAAATCTTAAAGCTGATCCCAAAGAAATCCGGAAAAAATCCATAAGCAAGCGAAATGATTGTATAACAAAAGAAAGCTGGATGCAGAAAACTGATCCGAAAACTGCGTATACGAGTGCACGTATGGATATAGGGATAGAGAGAACGAAGATACTCACTCTTTTGAAATTGCGAGGGCCACGTCAACGAGTCTCCGCATTATAATTCTCTAATTTTTGCTTTTCCGGTTTTCGATCTCTCGATTTCCACGACTAAAAAAATCGTAAAAACAAAACCGAAATTCAATACAATTTTGGGCGAAACGGAGACGCAGAAAGAGGGGGAGGTGGGGTGGAAATCAAGAGATCATTGAAATAAAATCAGATGGTTTGGGATTGCTTTTCGCAACCAACGATTCTTTCCGTACGAAATGATCTAGTTAGACAGAATCCTAGCGCCAATAGTCTTCGTTAAATACACGTGGAGGACTGTTATTGAGTGACGTATGAGGACCGGAATTAAATGATGGGTAAATTACATTATTACTAACTAAACTTTACTCTCTCTCCTATTTCATTCATTGTACTTTAAAAAAATTTAACTTTAAACAGCGAAATTTTTTTTCACTCAACTGTTAATAATTAAAAAATTTATTTTCATTCTTTCTTCTTCCTCCTCCCCCTTTTTCTCTCTAATTTTCTCCTCAACTTGTACAAAATTAGATTCCGATCACCGTGCGACAATCGTTCTAACCACCAAGGGCCCCTTTCGTCGGAGGTTAATGACTCTCAAAGTTTTCATCAACACATCTCACTATTTTAAATGCAAATTTGACATTCTTTTAACTAAAAAAACACCCCAACTGACTCAAAACCTTAAATTCTAAATATTAACCTCCACCTTTTCCTCACCATGGCAACACCTTCACAGTAATATCTTCAAGTTTTTTCTTGATTCTGATGATTGCTCATTCACAAGTAAGTCCCAAAACAATTTTCGTGTTTGGATTTCGAATCCATCGATAATAAGTCTGAAAATTCCTTAGGAACCTTGATTTCAACCATAACTTCGGTGGTTTTTAACCATTCCCAATACCATTACCTTTTGCTTTTATCATATATTCTTTGTTTTTGTTGCTCTGCATATCAAATTTGAGGTTTTTTTTCTTTATCTTGTTGTCTTTTATCTTTGTCGTAGGATAAGGATGGATGGAGTTGTAATTTTGGATTTAGAATTTGGGCCTTTGAAAGAGGGAAGAAATATGTTAGTGATGATTTGAGATTTGATGTTTGGATTTAGGGTTGAAGGTTTAAGATTAAAGTTTGATAATAGATTTTAATAATTTTATTTTTTTATTCATTAAAATTATAAATCTGAAATTTTATTATTAAAATAAGTCATGTAAAAACCTTGTTAATGTCGATTGAAAAAAAATTCAAATGGGTAAAATTTAGTGAATAAATTAAAAAATTTAAAAGTACAATGATTAAAATAAGAGGGGATAAATAACACTAAGTAATTACCCTGAAATGATTATGAAAACTGTCGGTTCAATGCATCCGTGAGGTGAAATGAATCGGGGCGTTGATAGGAATGAGCTTGACGGCTAAGATACAGGATGGGATATTTTATTGGATAACTTTTGGCCAAAAATGCGGACGTGGAAATACGACCAACGCATGTAACACATTTAATACTCAAGTCAATTATCAACATCTATAAATATATATTTTATATACAATATTTTGTTTCATTCATGTAGTGGTAGAATAAATTTTAGTGACTATTTTAAAAAGTAAATGGAAATTAAAAATTTTAGCTTTTTATTGAGATAATTTTTAGTTTAAAGCTTCGTTTTAAGTAAAATAATCCAGTTGGTTATTTAATAAATACTCATCAATATTTTGGTTTTTATAATTAAAAGGGTTCAAAACTCATAAATCATTTTTAATTATTATATAATAAATTTAAATGATAAGCTAACCTTAAAAGACAATCTTGGGATGAAATTATTATCTTATATATATTTTTTTAATTTTTAAACTAAAAGAACATAAATTTTTTAAAAATTGTTTCAAGTACTACCAAATTAAATCTTAACGCATATTATGATTTAAATATATAATAAATATTAAATTAATTTTGAGATAAATGTATTAGTTTATTTTTATATAAATAAATGAAAAGTCTTAAAGGAAAATTATTGAATATAATAATTTGTATTTTTTATGGGATAAATTTGAAAGTTAGCGCTACCTCGTTTGTAACGTGCATATTGAAACTTAGATTTAATAGAAGAAAGCAGGTAGCGGGAAGGCGGGTTAATATATTGTTAATATATGGTGTTATCGGATATATTAAAATATATTTAATAAATTCGGTTTAGTGCTACCGGAAATGTTGAGTAATAATAATATAGTAGGTCTAAGTCATGAAGAAATATTAAAAATTTTGGCAACCGGCAAACTTAACTTGTCGGTTTGTGTCGATCCAAATTAAAAATATATCGATCTATATCAATATAACAGGTAAAAATATCGATAAAACCGGTCACAAAAAGACAATACCGGTAAATCCTTACCGGATATATTGAACGTGTCAATACTTTAATATAAGGATCGATACTTTGTGAATTTAAAAGATAAGCAGTTTTAAAGCCTATAAAGTGTCGATACTTTATAAAAATGTATCGATCCACAACGATATAACATGTAAAAATATGATAAAATTGGTAAAGAGCTACCAGATATATTTAAAGTGTCGTTACTTTAATATAAGTATCGACACTTTGTGAATTTAAAAGAGAAGTAGTTTTAGCGCCTATAAAGTGTCGATACTTTATAAAAATGTATCGATCCACAACGATATAACTGGTAAAAATATGATAAAATCGGTATCAAAATGATAAAACCGGTAAAGCGCTATCAGATATATTGAAAGTGTCGATACTTTCAAAGAAATAGGTAATTATCCTATCGAAAGTATCGACACCTGAACTAAAAGTATCGACACTTTGGTAGTTGTATCGATTAAATATAAATAACATATCCGATGAAAATATAAAGGTCATAGCTAAATATCCTCTGAAAATAGATAGAACGGACGAGTTTTTGAAATCGAAGCGTAATTGTTGCTGCATTTCAGAAGGCGTTTCTAAAGCGAAGTTTGTTTGTTTGTTGTTGCAGTCGAATCGAAAAGTATGTTGTCGAAACCCTAGTTTTTTATTATTATAGTAATCGCAAATAGAATTTTTATGTGTTGTTTGGGGTTTTGGAGTAAAGAAGCATTTGGGGTCGATTACAGGTAGAAAGTGATATTCAAGGTAAAATATAAATGTCGATACTTTTATTAAATATTATAGGTAGAAAATGATATTATAAGTTGTATAAATGTGCCGACACATTTTGTAGTGGCCATTCAAATTCTTTTGAAGAAAATCGTTTTACCACAAGAGTAGTTATTTATATTTGTATATTGAATAAATTGTATGTAATAAGTATTTAATTTGATTTGCGTAAACTGATATATGAAGGAAAAATATAGTCAATGGGTGGAAAAATTGTTGGTGGCGCAGATGACTTTGAAATTGAGGCCGAGACTCGAAAACAACCAAAGGGTGGATATATGTACTTCTAGTAAGTATCCATGTCTTTTTGTTATTATTGTTGAAATGGTAATTGGATTAAAGTATTTAAGAACTTTAAATTGATTACAAAATTTAAATGTTGACAGTATGGCAGAATGCAAAAGGATGAAGGAAGATGGCACACAGAGCGGTTCGGTATGTAAAATGAAATTGACATTGAGTATTATTTAGTGTTAATGTATTGATTAAGAAACGTTTATGCTTAATATTAGGGGACAAAAGATGTGAGGTCCAAATGGAATTCGATGAGTGATGCTGAAAAGAAACCTTACATCACATAGTTAAGGAATGATAGTAAAGAATACAAAGAACAGAGGAAATCACATGAAAATAAGGTATTCATTAAACTTGTAAATACGTTGATACAAAATATATAAGAACTATAACATTGTATATTGTTAAAAAATGTAGGAAGTGTCGACAAGGTGCAATATTAAAAGGGTGAATTCATTAATTAAACACCTTAAGGAGAATGGTCAGTTGAATGTGCTGGGAGAAATAGGTTTTGGATCGTTTGTAGGAGTAAGGGATCAATCTATTCGGAGAGAATTGTGTCGATCCTTGATGGCGCAATTTGATGTCAAACAATGTATTGCTAAGTTTGGTGATTTTTCATTTCCTCTCGGGATCCCATGTGCTGCAGCCGTATTAGGGTAGAAAATGAAGGCAAAAGTGTTGTAGAAGTTTGTAAGAGTAAGGAATGATAGTAAAGAATACAAAGAACGGAGGAAAGCACATGAAAATAAGGTATTCAATAAACTTGTAAATACGTTGATACAAAATATATAAGAACTATAACATTGTATATTGTTAAAAAATGTAGGAAGTGTCGACAAGGTGCAACATTAAAAGGGTGAATTCATTAATTAAACACCTTAAGGAGAAGGGTCAGTTGAATGTGCTGGGAGAAATAGGTTTTGAATCGTGTGTAGGAGTAAGGGATCGACCTATTCGGAGGGAATTGTGTCGATCCTTGATGGCGCAATTTGATGTCAAACAATGTATTGCTAAGTATGGTGATTTTTCATTTCCTCTCGGGATCCCATATGTTGCAGCCGTATTGGGGGTAGAAAATGAAGGCAAAAGTGTTGTAAAAGTCTGTAAGAGTAAGGACTAGAAAGCACTTGCCTCCAAATATAGTTTGAAGCAGAAGGTGACATATGCTGAAATTGAAGAGGAAATCAAAAGTGGATCTTACGGGGGGGATGAGTTGAAGGCCAGAGTTCTATTGTACCTTGTCGGTATCTTTTTTTTTCCAACGGGTGATACGTCAACGAACAAGGACTATATGAAGCTCATTTGCGATGAAGGCTTGAAGGGTGAATTCAATTGGGCTGAATATGTCCATTCAAGATTGATTGAATCAATAATCACCTTTAAAAAGGGCAGCCAGAGATACCTCAAAGGGTGCATAGCAATCTTAGAGGTAAATGAGTTGAAAAACTTTTTTGTGTTTTTATATAAAATGATAGTATAGTTATTATATAAAATTATAAATTTTATTATAAATGCAGGTTGCACTGTTTGATTTTTGGTCGGGCTGTGAGGCAGTGCCAGCTTATGAAAGAACCATAGTGGCACACATCCGTGCATGGGGGAAGGAAGAGGTGGTTAGAGTGATGGAGAAGTTGAAGTTGGATAGACCGATGAAGCAAGAAAGGGTAATAAATGTAATTAAATAATATTAAGAATATAACCAATGTCTTAATATTGTAATT